CGTAGCCGTTTTTGAGACAAGGATAACTCTATCACTAACCAAACCAGTGGTAGCAGTTGACATCTGAGTCAGATGACCGCCTGTATTACTTGGGATAAATGCAGGGGGTACCTCTTGAGTTAATAGCCAACAAACATTGGCGAATCAAGGGGTCTAGCCGGCCTCCGCCGCCTGGTACCTCTACTTCTCAAGCAAGAGTGACGGCGACTGAGTAACTCCAACATTAACTCATAGTCACTCCCTCAAATTTGGTATGGAACCTAAAAGGTTTGAGTAGACCGCCTGTTTTTTGGCAAACAGGGGCACTCAAACCCCTATTCCTACTAGGTAACCTATTGAGTAAATAGCCAACAAACATTGGCGAATCAAGGGGATCAGCCGGCCTCCGCCGCCTGGTACCTCTACTACTCAATCTAGAGTGTGACGGAGACTAAGTAACTCTTATGTTAACTTATAGTCACTCCCTCAAACTTAGTATGGAGCCTAAAAGGTATGAGTCGTCCGCCTGTTTTTAGCAAACAGGGGCTCTCAACCACTACTCCTGCTAGGTTAACAAATTATGAGTTAAGAGCCAACAAACATTGGCGAATAAAGGGAAACAACCGGTACCCGCCGCTTGTTATCTCTACTACTCAGTTCCTTGGCGACTAGGTAATACTCATGTTTACTTGGTCAGACCACTTTCCTACTTGGTTAAATTTACAAATGACAGGACCGTCTGCCGAAAAAGGATCCAGTCTTTAAAATAGTTCGAATACCGATTGGATAAATGGCCGACTGATCGTCTATCCTGGAAACAGACAACCAGTCGTCCAGGGGCATAGGCGGCGTGACTAACTATTCGTACCTGTCTGCAACTATCGGCCATGCAAAACAGTCGGTCTAAGTGAACAATTGGATATTAGAATATGGAATACTTAGACAAATTTGAGGCAAAACAAAAATTCATTAAAAAGAAGCCGGTCATCAAAGACCGGCAAAATATTCAAAGCCCCAGCCCCCTGGCCGGGTAAATACAAAACAAACGGCACGCAGGCCGTGGAATGAATACATAAAGCTTAAGAAGGGGGAAGATCTTCAATATTAGCAGTTGCCGCCTGGTCAGCACTCTTCTTGTTGGACTCGGCTTCAGCTGCATCCTTTTTTGATGCCTTACCCCCAAGCGGCACAAGCGCCACTACCGGCTCCTCCTCCTCCAACGCCTCTTCCTCAGCAGCCGCCAGGATCTCTTGATTATATGTATCAGAACACTGGCGGTACGTTCTTTCCCAAGAGGCAAAGTCGGCATTGGGGAAGAGGCGGCCCCAAGTCATGCGCTGGATTTGAGCGGAGTCTTCCATCATCTCCCGGACCAGCTCTTTCTTCTCTTGCTCGGCCTTTTCCGAGAGCTCTTGAGTAAGACTCTTCTCCTGGGTCACCAGGCGTTCCTTTACGTTGGCCAAGGATTTCTCCAAGGCTTTGTATGAGTACATTTTTAGGCGAAGAGGTTTCAGCTCGGCCTTGAGATTGGTGATGGTCGCCTCCAGCTCGTCATTCCTCTTCTGGGCCGCCTCTAACTGAGCCCGAACAGCGGCGGTAGCCTGCGCCTGATAATAAAGAATATCAATGGTCAGAACTTCATTTTGGGCAATTTGAAACATTGCCTTATCACAGTCAGAGGCGGCCATAGCTTTTGCAGCCTTTACCTCTTTGTTCTTCCGATCAAGCGGCTTGCGAAGGCCGTTCACTCGGAGCAGGGCCTAAGTACAAAGGAACAGGCGTCAGTTTCCAAACAAAAAGAAAACAGGCGTCCAGAAATTCAAATACTCAAAAATATGCTAAGTATATCTCAGCAAGGACCCCTGCAATCCCGTCTAGGTCAAGGGTGCCGACACCCCTGACCGCCTCCCTTTCAGCTGGAGGAACTGCCCTGATCATAGACTTGGCCATCTCTACCAAGTCAGGCTCCTGAGGGCCGGCTGCATCAAGCATAAACAAACGGATTAGACCTAGTAAAAAAGGGAGCGAGTCTAAAATTTACAAGGACAACTTCTTACTTCTAGGCGGCCAGTTGGAGTTTTGGAAGAAGTGGTCGGCTGTTTCTCAGCCGCAACAGTCGTCTTCCGGGCCTTGGGGTCCGGCTGTTGGGAAGATGAAGCTCTTGGAGCACCCGTCTAAAAAAGAAGAAAAAAAAGTCAGTATATGCATAAACACAACTCCAAAAAGAGGGTGAAAGGTACGGAGCTCACCAAGGGTGCCCCCTTCTTGGGGGAGTCGGTTGAAACTTGTTGCATGATGGAGGCCCGCAACATGGCCGCCGCAGTCTTGGAGGCGGTGATTTTGCTCATGGCGTCAGCTGCAAAAACAAACAACAAAGTTAATAAAAGTCATAACAAGAAATGTATGGAACAACAGAGTATTCGACAGGCCGACTACCTCTTGAGCACCGACTGCTGAGGCCACAGGTGGCCAAAAAGTACTCGTCGTAGAGCCATTTGAAGCTCGGGACGCAGTGCAGGGGTACTTGCTCTCGTACCCCTGAAGTAGAGTCGACCCTCGACTCTACTTTAAAGAGTCCTTTATCGAGGATCTCTTTCTTAGCCTTGGGGGGTACAGGCGGCATACTACGGGGCGGATTCCTGTTCCACCTATTGAAGCGCTTGTTCAACTCAAGGTCTGAACTCTCAATGATGAGGAAGGTGCTCCTCCAGTCCTACCACTTGTTTGCTTTACCTCTCGTCATGAGGTAGCCCCTGTGGCTTGTCAATTGATACCAGCCGGTACCGCCTGTCTTAGGGGTCCGGCTGAGATAGTTCATATGGGCGAAAGCCTCGAAGCTCGGCTCCACCCCGTGCAGTTCGCACTCGGCCACATAGCCGAGTACGTTGACCCAGGAGTTTGGGGCTAACTGCCATAACCCCAACTCATACCCATCCAAAATCCGCTGAACAGCCGGATGTAATGGGAAGCGCAGCCCTGCCTTGATGGCCGCCTTGTAGCAGCCAAAGCAGGCGCTATCATAACTGGAACCAGCCGGCCAGACGACTGTGTCTTCTGGATCCGGCACAAACACTAGAAAGTCGGGGCCCATGGTGTGGTTTGCAATAAAGCTCTCCACTTTCTCTTGCATGGCTGTGATTCGGCCCCGAGGTACCGTGCAGTAATAGGGGGTATTTAGCTCTCGGTGAGAGGCGGATGGCTCCGCCCAATTGTCCCCCTTCTCAACTGCGTGAGAAAGTCTCGCCTCTTGCAGGCGGCTGTTTTTCTCTTCTGTGTCCAAAGAAGCATGGCCAGAAGAGCTTGACTCGGAATCGTCCTCTGACGAGTCCGAAGAGGACGACTCCTCCCCTCTCCCGGAGGGGCCCGCCTCCTCTCTTTGAAAAGGAGCAGAATTGTTAACTGTTAAATGGGAAGGGGTCACTATGACTCCTCCCTCAGAATTGCCGGCTTTCAGGCCGCCTTTTTTCACTTCCACATCTGGCGCCTGGTCAGATGTTTCACTAAGCGGCACCCTGTGGGAGGAGCCGTCTGAATTTGAGATCCTAGCAGTCTTTTTCGTTCTGGCCATCCTGCTCTGCATAGACACAGATACAGTCGGACTTTGTATAAAGGGCAAAGATGGGTCCGGAAAAGGGCAGGCGGCACTCCTAGTCCTAGATTCAGCCGTCCCCGGTGACCGGCTGATCACTAACCTAGGTCGTGTCGTGTGCTTCCGTGGTGCCATTTCAAAAAATAAAAAGAAAATTAAGAGTAAGAGAACTGACAGTTACCTAAACGAGTGACGGTTGATGAAGTTCTGAAAATCCTGTGCAGTCGGCTTGTCAGAACAGGCGGTAGGCAGAAAAGGTCCGAAATGTCAGAGCAAGTTCAGGGGTCCGAATGTTCTCAAAAAGTTCTCAAAGTGTGAAAATGACTCAAGACAATTCGCCCTGATATAGGCGAAGTGAGAAGGCGAAGGGTCACTTTCAGAATTCAAAATTTGGGCGGGAAACTCTCTCGTCCTTTCGCCGACTGACACCTGTAGAAGGTCGCCGCCTGTTACAGTGCGACACCTGTCACAGGTAACACGTGACCAATCACGTGCCACCTGTGAGGGGCAAATGATTAGGGGATTTTCCTCCCTCCAATCGAAATGCGCCACGTGGGCCAATCAGGTCCTGCCAAGTGTCCCCCAGTTGGAACTGTCAGGGCTTGCCACGTGGCACGCGCTTATTCGTCCACCTTGGACCTGTTATGTCATGACATGTGGCATACTCCATGCCTAATGGAGAAATCGGCCACCCAGGCCCAACTTCCGAGGGAAGCCCAATCGGCCCTAGGTTAACCTAAACCTAGGATGGGCACTCTTCCCAAGGTTATAAATACCTCCCTTAATCCTCATTAAGGAAGGGGAACGAAAAAACACATTAATTACACACAGTAATAACCGGCTGATCTCGCTAACAAAGCAGATTACCTACATTAAACACTCTCACCTAGAGAGACCCACTCACTTTAATTTCCGCATTAATTACTCCTTAATCAAGTACTAACTTGACCGTTGGAGGCGGAGCTCCCAGGAGTCTCCGTTATTTTGCAGGTACAGGCGTCCGGTTCCAGTCTCGGAATTGTAACTCTCCCGCAGGACATCAGAAAACCCCGAAACAGTTTCCTTCCTACAAGTGCATTATTCCGCTAGAGGGTTCAGAATTATTAGGAAGCTAATTATTCAATGAAGTCAAATGATCGAAATTCCTAGGTGGAGGTCGCTTCCGATCAGTAATATTAATGCATAATTAATATTACGGCTTAATCTTGACTGAACCCTTCGGGTTGCACCCCAATCGAATAACCGATTCGCACTAGGCGAAAATACGTAATCCCCACCGGTTCAAACCCTATACATTTCGCACTGGATCAAAATCGGTGCAAAAAATGACTTTTCGCACCGGTTCTGGGTGAGAACCTGTGCCAAAAACTAAATTTTTTGCACCGGTTTTGTCTTTGAACCGGTGCCAAAAGTCTCCAAAAATATTTTAAAAAAAACTTTTAGCACCGATTCTTTTCCAAAACCGGTGACAAAAGTGCCCCAAAAAAATAAAAAATAATTTTATTTTATTGCATTTTTTTCAGTTATATTGTACAAATACTTATATATAATCATAATATACATAAAACACATATATTTTCTTCAATATTTGTGTCAAACATCCATTAAAGAGCACTACATCTTTGATAAATAGAATAAAAACTAAGATAAAAAAAACAGCAGACTACAGCAGCTCCCACTAACCCCAAGCCTGCAATAGAGAATGCGACAGCATAGCCACACCACGACCAGCAACCCCAGCAGCAGCTACAAGCAAAACAACAACTAGAAGCTACACCACGGCTAGGCAGCCACCACCAGACCCAGCACAAGCTATCAAAACCAGCAGACCAACAACACAACAGTGCAACAGCAGCACAAACATACAACAACTTGTCATCAAAGCAGCACTGAACACAGCAGCGCAACCACAACAGCAGACAGCAGGCAGAACAGCAGACCAATAGGCAGCAAACAGCAAACCCATACATAAAATCCTAAGATTAAACATTTAACAATTCTAGGAAGAATTTTGTACATACTCCACGTAGTCGGGCTAGGGTTACTTACTATAATTATCTTAAACATAACCCTATGATTAGAGAAAACCTCAATTATATTCTCCCTGCAGGGAACAAGCCAAATACCAACAGTAGTAAAATCATGTCCTTCGCATTAGTCAAAGGAGCTTGAGAGGAAACAAAAAAAAAAGGGAGATAACAGAAGGAAAAAGCACTTCTAAAGATGGATAACGCATCCGAGATTACTTCACAAAGACAGTAAAAAGTGTGGAAGGATTACAAAAACTATCTGTGAATATATGCGACTTAAAAAAATCAAAATTTGTTCAAGATTACTATTAGTTGTATCAAGTTTTCTGGAAAAAAAAGGACTCAATACACACGACTCTAGTTATTTTGAGGTCATTACAGACGTACGGGCATTTCATTGACACAAACCAAGCAAGAAATCTAAAAATAAATGTCGGTTGAAAAAAAAGTATGTAATAACAGTATTTACCCTTAGACTCCAAATTCTGAATCAATAGTACTTGTATATTGATTTCTAACAAAAGACAATAAAGTGAATAGCTTGCTATGAATGCTATCACTTGACCTCAGTTGTGTCCAACATGATGTTTGTGCTTTTCTGGCATAACTGACCATTGAGATACAGTGCAAAAGTGCAATCAGCTTCATCTGAATGCACTTAGAAGTTAGAAGTAAACATCAAAGTTATTTAGCGAACTTCATTTGGATTGTTTAAAAGTTTTAGTATAATCAGCTCAAAGAAACATTGATTGCCTAAGCTAACAACATATTGAAAGGATTAAAAACTACAGATGTATACATAAATAACAACCCTTCCTTATCTTCCATAATTTAATTATCTAGAGGTAGATAGGGCACAAATCTCGTCAAATTTATGTACGTCTAATCTAATTCAGATAGAAGAATATCAAATCAACTTATTTTACAAAACAATGAGAGAAGGCTAACTCACTCTTCATCGTAGTTTTCATCCTCTGACCTCTCCTATTTGCTGATTGATGCTCGCTTGCCAATTGAGCAGCATCGATTGCAACTGTTCCCATCTCAATGAGGAACCACTCAGGAACCACTATCCACTACTTAGAGGCAACACTCCTTTATCTTAACGTGTCCAAGCTCCTAATAAAATGGGGTTTATACTAGTCATGTTTCAGTTTATAAGAGGAAACGACAACCTAGAGTAATATATTTAAAATATAGACAAGTTCCAATAAAAAATCAGAAAATCTGTGAAAGCCGTCAGAATCATTACCACTGATACAACCAAACTAAATTGTCAATAGTCTCAATACCCACAATCTTTTAAGTAATTCAAATAATTTACCTTGTTCAGAGCTTCAAGTAACAGTGATTCTGCTTCATAAAAATTTCCCATATGCATACAACAGACAGCCTTGCCGCTCAGGATCAATCCAGTCATTGAATACTTCTAAGAAAAATCCTGGAAGATGAGGGTATGCCTCCTGTATCTTGGAACCTCCCTATAACAAAGAAAACATATCTTTAGCGGTCAACTCATGTAAATTCATGTAGTATAATTCCCCTCAAAAAGTTGAAACCAAGAAAGCATGTTATGGAGGTTTTTCTTAAAGCTAACTCTGCTGTGTTAGGTATAGCCCCACATTAATTAAGAAAAAGAAATACATGCGGCTCGGTCAATTCTATTTGCAACAAAGCATAAATTTCATGTTCATGTATACATGAAACCAGAACAGGTTCACACATGATAGGCAGGTCATGTCGGCAGGCATCAGCATTTAAATGATGTGCAGATCATGTACATACTGGTAATTTAAGCAACTGACTCACAGATAGTAAGGCAGATATTAGTACTTTTCATTTTCTCTAGTTTTAGGCAGAATAGCTGTCAGTAAGAAAAGGGATTTCAAAATCATTTATAGTTTTGCGAAGTAAATTCTCACCTTCATCGGGATCATAGGAAAAAGACCCATCTGAGTAATCACTTTCATTATCAGGCCTGCATAAAAATAAAATTAAAAAAAAACACAAGTTAACAGTAATCAAAATTATCTCACTAGATTTTGAGGTGAAATTTTTAGTAATAACATAGAATAAAAACAATAATGTTAAGGCTAGAAGAGTAGTTGTGATATACAAAGTATAAAACTTAGTTTCAATTTCAGTTCCATAAATTGCTTACATTAATAACATAGGTTAGCTATTTAGCTAACTGTTACTTAGCTAACATCAAACAAAAAATGATATAGAAGTTCCCTTCATCTCTCTATAGCTTTCTCCATTCTCCCACTTCAGTTTAATCTTTACCCACACTACAAGGCATCTCAATTTCAATACAACTTAGACGACTACCTATTGATGTTGGCACAATGTACTACGGAAAATCAGACACTACGAGCAAATCTATAAACTCAAAAATTGTATCATGGAACTATCTTGACGTAAAAGAGCCATAACATACAAATATTAAAGAATGTAAAGGCTCATTCAATGAACGCGAATGAATTTACATTTTGGAAGCAACGGCTCAGGCTAATGTCCATGGTAATGTTTTGTCAACATTTAGATTGTCAAAAGCTCCATTAGTAAAAAGACCGCCATAAAGGGCAAACAAACCAATGAGAAGCATCCCACAAACTTAGCATCCAACTAACACTAAATGTAGCCCTCTTATAAATATAATACAGAGTACTACTTAGCTTAATTCGAAGAATCTAAACTAGTAAGATACCAGGCAATAAAAAATAAAATAGTGATAAATTGATCGGACTTACCCTTATCAGTAGTCTTCATTAGAACAATAAGACCCTTAGAGTTCCTGCTGGTGTGATGAAACAAAAGAATTACACTTGGTTTTATAATTTACAAATAGAAAACATAAAAATGACTGTATGATTTAGACTCCCTGACCAACACACAATCTTCCTATGTCATTCATTCCTGCAATAGTGGTCTTTGTGATTGGGACACGCTTTGCCAATATTTCCCTAACTGATTTTGGTGTGGCGATATTTGTTCATGAAATTAGAATTGACAGTCTTATACTATAATAAGTATCTTCAGTTGAAATGACTATTAGTAATCAATCTTTTATCCTTTTCATACCATAAGTTGTACACCAATTTCCCACTTCTAAAGAATTAAATTGACCTAGAAAAAAAAATCAACCAATACTGAAAACACCAATATTCTATTCACTATAACAAGAATTTAACTTAGTTCCGCAAAATAAATTTTAAATCTAACTCAATGCCATCATATTCTACTTAATACAGATAAATTTAACTCAATGGAATAAAATAAATTTCAAAATTTTCAACATATACAATAACAAGAGTTCACGAATTATATATTAACAACAATAATGTATGTACATAAATTGAAAAAAACATGACGAAATTGAATTGCATGACATTCTTCCAATTAACCCTTAATTGGAAAACCCTTAATTTCTTCCAATTAACAGCCTCGAGGAATTAGAAAACCCTTAATTTCTTCCAATTAACCTCAATTGGCAAAACATAGAACAAATTCACGAGTAAATCCATTAAAAAACAATCCAATAACACATGAATAACACAACCAGATTCGACAACCCTAAAACAACAATAACAAAATCAACCAACAATTCATGTGTTATTGGAAGCGAAATCGAAGCAAACCCGGAGCAGCTTCAATGGAGGTAAGAATGCTCAGATTCGGCTTCAATGGAGAATATAGAGCACGATTTAATGGAGGCGGAGGTGCTGCTTCAATGGAGTGAGAAGGCGGAGGTGCTGCTTTAATGGAGTGAGAACGCTAGGGCAATTCGGGATTATGGATAGAGAACGAAGGCAAAAATGAGAGGGAAATTAAAAGTACAGAACATGGAAAGAAAGAAAGAAAGAAAGAAAGAAGAAGAAAAACAGCCCGGTTTTTTTTTTATTTCGTAATTGGCACCGGTTTGAACCGGTGCGAAAAAAATGATTTCGCACCGGTTTATTAGGAACTGGTGGGAAAAGTATTTTCCCCAATCCCGCCCATTTCTTTTCCCACCGGTTTTCAAGAACCGGTGCGAAAAGTGCGCTGCGTAATTCATTTTTTCTACTAGTGTCGAGACGACAAATCAATCCGAAGGATTAAATGATTCTTTAGAGTATTACGAACAAAGACGTCGGATATCAAGCTTAGAGCGTCGAAATCGAGCGTTGTAAGCCGTGTCAAATTGGGATTCAACGAGAAGATAAATCAAACAAGAGACAAGTTTGAGCTAAGCCATAGCCTCGCATTAGCCATGCGATTGCTTGGCTAGCCTAGGCCACACACCATGTTGAGCTTGCTAGCAGCGCTGGCTAGCTAGCTGGTGTGGCATAGCCAGCATCGCTAGCGCGCTAGGCGTGCTAGCATGCTAATACCTTGCACATAGCAGCCCAGCCGCAACATCGTAAGGGCAATAAGAGCACGCAAGTGTTATGCCTCGCTAGCAGCGCGCCATGCGTACTTGTGTTGTAGGCTATGCGTGTTGGGCCTCGCATTGCACTCACATCATAACCTAACGCACACTCGCAGCCCGCAACGCAGCAACCTTGGTGCTAGCTAATAGCTGGTAGCCTTGGCAGCCATGGCAAGCAGGCATCCAGCCAAGTGGCGTGGTCAGCCCGGTCAAGGAGGGGACCATTTGCTTGGTTTTTAGCTTGGGGTGCAAGGTGTTTTGGTCCCCTCCCCCCTTTTGTGGTCCTCACCAACCCTTTCTCTCCATGTGATACTAGGTGCTTTTTGATTGCCTTGCATTGTAATTGAAGAAAAATGCAATTCTCCCACATTGATGGAAAAAGGGAGATCAAGCCTCCCTTCCCTATAAATACCCAAGTTTTAGGTTTGGGAAAATCACTTGAGTTGAACTCAAAAAGGCATCTCTTTGAAAGTGAGAAAACCTATAAGTTCGTAATACTCTAGTTTTTATTTGGTCAAGTCCCGACTAACCATCAAGATAAAGACCTCTCGGGTCGGAGGCCGTCGCACTTGCGAGGTTAAGCTTTCAAGTAAGAGCTCGTGATCGAGCGAAGCACGCGTCGAAGGTAAGAATGTCTTTTCTCTTTCTCTCTCCTTTGTTATTTAATTATGTGATTGCATGCTTAGTTGCTTTAATTAATGGGCGGGTCTTGGGCGGGTTTCTCTTCCGCGTGGTGTTGGACACTACGAAACCCAACATAGCAACCGTATACGGACCTAGAATATCATGCCCCATTAGGAGAATGGCACTGGGCTGTGAATGGCCATCAAATTAGTATCCGGACGGTGTATAAGTTTGCAAAATATTGGACAAAATATTGGACACTTGTCACATTTCTTTACCTATTCCATGGCGTCTGCCTCAAGAGTGGGCCAAAAATAGCCTTGTCGCCTAACCCTTTTTGCTAGAGATTGCTGCCTATGTGTGATGCACAAACACCCAAGTGCAGATCCTCTAGAACCTCTTGCCCTCTTTCTGGGTGATGCATTTAAAGAAAGGATGCAAATAACCCTTATTGAAAAGCTCTCCATTATGGACTTCAAAGTTGGCTGCACGTTTTTTCATTGCAACCATCTCTAAGTAATTATCCAGCAAAATGTCGTATGTCAAATTAGCCCAGATGCCATCCATCCAAGTTCAAATTCGGTCTAGGACTCCAATGGGATCTTCTTCAATACTTCTTTTTTTTTATAACTTCCCAACAGACCGACCGAGGTGTATCACAGGAGGCGGATGATGCCAGTTTTGAAAGAGCATCCGCTGATTATTCTTTAACCTGGGCACCTGACTTAGATGAAATTACTCATGTGCCCTAGCCTCCTTTTTGAACGCCTGCAAATATTTGATCATTAACTGATGGGTGGCCTCATAGTCACCATGGTATTGGCTTTCGATCAATTGTGAATTAGAACATGCCTGAATCTTTCATGCCCATGCTGCTTACACATGCAGATACCGACTAGTAGGGCCTCATAATCTGCCTTATTATTTGAGACCTAGAACACAAACCGTAGTGCATATTCATATTTGTCCCCTTCATGGGACTGACACATAATGCTTGCACCATAGCTATTCATAGTTGAGCTCCCGTCTACATATACTTTCCAAACCTGGTTAAGATTCTCTGGCTCAACCGGCCTTGTCATTTAGACAATGAAGTCGGTAAACACCTGACCCTTCATTGCCTTCCTTGGTTCAAAAGAGATTTCAAGGCTTTTGCATTTAAATAGCCCATTTGAGCATTCTACTTGATAACTCCAAGGTTGTCATTGGCCGCTTGAGGGGTTGGTCGGTGTAGACAACAACCAGATGTGCCAAGAAGTAAGGTTTTAACTTCTTGACTGCCATAAAAAGAGCAAGACCAAACTTTTCAACCATAAGGTACCGTAGTTTAGCATTTCGAAGAACATGGCTAATGAATTAGACCGAGAGCCAGGTGTCGTCTCTCTCAGCAAGGAGGACAGCAGTGAGAGCATAATCTGAGATGGCTAAGTACATGTAAAGCATCTCCTTTGGCAGAGGGATAACAAGCCTCGGGAATGAGTGCAAGTGTTCTTTTAGCTTTAGAAAGGTTGCCTCAGCATCCTTCTCCCATTCAAACATAGTCTTCAACTTGATTGCTTGAAAGAAATAGAGGCACTTGTCACCTGACTGGCTAAGGAATCTCCCTAATGTCGCCAGAAAAATAGTGATTGCTATTGCTTTGAAGAAGTTTGTATAGGCCACTTCGTCAGACAGCCCTTGAATCTGGATTTTTATCAGATTGAATTGTTTGACATATGACCGTAGCCTTTCTCCAACCCCCCTGCTGTATTGCACCCAAGTCAAGACTTGTTTTCATAACAAGGATATTCATAGAGAAGTTATAAGCGAACAAGTACGCAAGCGTCTTGAAGCTATTGATGCATTCGTCTAGTAGGTTGCCAAACCATCTTTGGGCAATGCCCTTCAATGTGGCCAGGAATCATCGGCACCTGGTGGCATCATCCAAGCCCTGTAAGTAAATGAGGTTGGTGTAAGCCATGAGGTGGTCTTAATGGTACCATCATATGTACCCACCAAGACATTTTTAACCTTGATCGACTGTGCCGCCTCGGATATCTACTTGGAGAACGTAGAAGGTTTTTCCCCAAGTATTAGGAAACGGAGCTGCCAGTCCAAAGGTTGGAGGTTTTGTGCCGCGTGACCCCCCAAAGAGGGCCAACTGCATGTATGATTGTCCATACGACATGTATGGTTGTTGAGGCGCATACGAAGCTGAATGGATTATTTGAGGACCAGTGTGAATGGAAAAGCCGCCTGACTGAATCTCTTGGTTAGATGTGAATACCTCATTGAGATATTCTAAAAGCTTTCTTGGTTAGACAGTTGCTGGTTCTTCTTCTACTTGATAAACAACCGGGCATCAAAGTACGTCTTTTAATTAGGAACCATCCGGCTGAACATGCCAGATGGCCTTCCTCTTCTCTGTCTTAGGGAATCAAATCTTGGTAAGATTGATCAAGGGCCACTTCCCCTCCTTTGATTTAGGATGCGGAGTGGGCTCTCGGTCCTTGACCGGCTTGTTCCTCCCGGAATGGGAAGGCTTCTTGGCCGACTGACCCTTGTTAGAGCCAGCCGTTGAAACTTGTCTTGAATCTCATGATTTTATCTCGGGTGATTAGGGTTGTGTTTCATGCCGCTTGGGGTTTTCCAGACAGCTGTCCGGATGGTTGACTTAGACCTGCTTGATCATCGCCCCGTTCCTTTCTTTCCGTGGGACAGGTGCGCTTGGTTCTGAGTGACCCATCAGGAGCCACATATATTTCGACCTCAAAATTGTCATCAGTGTCTTGGTCTGAATAGACTTGGGCGTCGGTCGTAGGCCGTTTATCATAGGAGGCAGTACAGGCTATTGTGAAGCCATCTAAGAGGTACACTCCCCATAGACAGCGCCTAATGTTTCGAGGATTTCGGTGTCCTTAGGGATAATTACATTTCCAAGACTCGAATCTGAGCACCTGTAACTGCAAAACAACGGAGACTCTGGTTGAGTGGAGTTTATCCTCCGACGATCAAGTTAAAACGTGTTCGGAAGGTATAAAGTGCAGAAAGTAAGGTGGTATCTTCTCGGATTCCGAGATTAGGTTTCTCTGTGGTGAGAATTAATGAATATGTGTATCGGTTCCGTAATTAATTGTGTTTAATGAATGTGTTGATCGCCTTCCCTAGGTGGGATACATCTCCCTTTTATAGGGTCTTGGGATTTGTGCCACTATCCCAGGTATGGAAACCTAGGAGTATTGGGCTGTCTTGGGAATTAGGCTTTGAAGGCCGTCATTTTCCCTCGCTGACTTCTAGTGCCATGTGTCAACTGGGGATTGGTTTATTTAGAACCTCTCCTAGGGTAACACGTGACACCTTGTGATTGGACCACGTGGCCAAGATATTTTTATTCAAAACATATTTAGTTAAGATTAAGCTGTAATATTAATTATTCATTAATATTACTGATCCCAAGCGGCCTCCATCTAGGCATTGCGATCACTTGACCTCACTGAATAATTAGCTTTCTAATTAATTTTGAGACCTCTATAGGAATAATACACTTGTTTGAAGGACACCATTACTTTCAATCTCCCACTTGTCCTTCTAGACAAGTGTGTTGTATAGGTATAGCATGTTTCCTATATCATTTAATGTTTCTTCGTGAACTATAAGGTAAGTTTTCTCGTCATCCTTATTACGTCCAGAAGTGTTTCTCGTTTTCTGAGTCTAACTGTCAATAAGCAGATGATTTCTAAAATCCATCTGATCACGGCCATGCATTTTCACAGTCTCGCTCTTAGAGAGGACTTGTAAACAAAAAGACATGTTCCCTATTGTTAATAGGGGGACATTCCCAGTCTTGCATTGTTAGTTTCCATTACTAAGAGGAACTAGCCACCTGAGTGTGTTGCCTTTATAATGCTCTTGTACGGCAGACGTTTGACAACATCAAAGCGGACAAGAATTCAAACAAGAGAACTTATAATACTCATGGTTGAGGAAAGAGGTTCTGATAGCCATGAAGATTAATATACTTACGACGATTG